TTTTGGTAAAATTTTGAATTTTGGTATTAATTTTTTTTTTTTAACCTTTTTTTTTTTTTTTCTTGTTATTAATTTAAAAAAAAAAAAAAAAAAAAAAACAATATATGTAATAGAATTGATGTAAACAAATAAAATAAATAATGATATAAAAAAAAAAAAAAACAAATTATAAACGTGATAATAAGAACATTTGATGATAAGAAAATGTTTGTTTGTTTGTGAACGTGCATAAAAAGTTTTGTAAGAATTTTAAAAAAAAAAATTTATTATTAATTGGTTATTTAAAGATTTTAGTTAAATATTATTTACATTGTTGTAACAACAAACAAACAAACAAAACAAAAGAAAAACAATTGATTATAGAAAAAAAAAAAAAACAAGAAAAAATATTTTTTATTTTTTTTATTTTATATTTTCGTGATAAGAAGTAAATAATAAAAGTGATAATAAAATATATTTTTAATATTTGTGAGTTTTTTTTTTGTTACAAATTATATAAAAAAAAATGTCGGAAGTGATACAAACAGGTAAAAAATTATATAAAATATGATTTTAATTTGTTTTTATGTTTATTAATTTTGTTTGTTTTTGTTGTTAGTTTTGGGTGAAGTTAATCCGGAAACAGTTGGAAATATTTTAACACACGAACACATGCATATAGATTATAGAAAATTTTTTATACCACCCCCGAATACAATAAAAGATTATTTCGAGGGTGAAATAAATCTTAAAAATATCGGTTTCATTCAACGTTACCCGTAAGAATATTTTTATTTATTTATTAATTTCTCGGGGGACCGAATAAGAGAAAAACTAAAATAAATTTCGAAATTTAAAATAGTTTTTTAGTTTTTGTTAAAGTGGTTTTTCTTGTTTTCGGTTGTTATACCTAATTAATTTGTACTTAAACCTTTGACCTTTTTTCGTTTTATTTACATTTTGGATTTTTTTTTTTGTTTTAAGGTATTCGAATGATAGTAATTTATCATTTTTCACGGAGGATTTAAAAAATGCCGTCGTTGATGATTTGAAAATATATAAACGATTGGGCGGAAGTTTAATTGTCGAAAATACAAATCACGGTATAAATAGAAATGTTGAATATTTAAAATATGTTTCTGAACAAACTGGAATTCACGTCGTTTCCGGAACTGGTAAAAAAAAATTTTTCACCCCCCCTCCCCCCCATAAATTGATTGAGTTATTGATTTTGAAAATTTTATTATATAAAAAGGTTTTTATTTGGAATCCGTACAATCGAATTCGACATTGAATAAAAATATCGAAGAATTATGCGATGTCATGATTGAGGATTTGATAAAAGGATGCCCGGAAATGGATGATGTTAAATGTGGTATGATTGGAGAAGTTGCAAGTAATTATCCGATATCAGGTACATGAAGGTACAAACAAACAACACAACCGAACGGATGCAAATACATATTTATAAATTTTTTTGTTTGTTAAACGAGATTTCGAATTGAGATCAATTAAAGCAACTGGAATCGTGCAAGAAGAATTAAAATGCCCGGTTACATTTCATCCAGGACGTGATAAAAATGGTCCTTTTGAAATTATGAGATATTATACGGAATCAGGAGGGGATGGAAGGAAAGCAATCATGTCGCATTTAGATAGTAAACCCCCCCCCCTCATTATTTTATAATTTTTTATTATTTTAACTTGTATTAATTTCACTCTCACTCTTTCTCTTTTTAAGGAACGTTAGAAATTCCAGATTTGATTGATTTTTCAAATGAATACAAATGTTTTTTACAACATGATTTATTCGGAACGGAAGTACTCACTTATCAGTTATCACCCTCTTATCAAATGCCTTCGGATTATGATAGATTAAAAAGGATTAAATATTTAATTGAAGAAGAAAAATTATTGGATAGGATTTTAATGTCTCATGATATACATACGAAACATAGATTGGTAATCATTCTCTCTCTCTCTCTCTCTCTCTCTCTCTCTCTCTCTCTCTCTCTGTTACTTTGTTGTTTTGTAAAGGGGAAATGATTTTTTTTTTTATAAACAAAATGGCGGTTAAATGCAATAAAATTAATATAAATTGATTTGATTTAAAAATTTTAGTCACGTAGACACACTATTACGGGGTCAAAATGTAAATAAGGAGATGATAATGGTTTTTATGGTGATAACAATGAGACGATAACAATTTTATTAACATTTTTTTTCATTTTCTTTTATTTTGTTTGTTTACTTAACGTCGTCGAGATTAACGCCACCACCACCGTCAATAACCGCCACCTCCACCATCAACAACCACCACCTCCACCATCAACAACCACCACCTCCACCACCATCATCAACCGCCACCACCATTAACAACTACCACCTCCACCATCAACAACTGCCACCACCACTACCACCACCATCAACAACCGCCACCACCTCCATGAACAACTGCCACCACTTACGCTTATTATTATTATTAATAAAGTTTATGTAAAAAATTATATTTTTGTTTTGGTTTTGGGGTGGCGGGGTGGGGATAAGGGTAAAATTAACGGGGGTTTACATATTTAAAAAAAAATATTTTTCTTTGTTTTAATTATTATTATTATTATTATTATTATTATTATTATTATTAATCTCTCTTTCGAAAGGTTTTTTTTTTTTTATTTATTCTTCTCGAATTTCTTTTACTTAACAAACGTGCGCGTATAGAATTTCCATCGAAAATGTTTTTATAATAATAATAATAATGATTTTTTTTTGTAAATGTGATGATGATTGCAAAATTTTTGTAAATATTTTTTTTTGTTTTTTTAAATGTTGACCCATAAAAATCATTATTATTATTATTTTTTTATTTTACAGGTTAATTACGGGGGTCACGGATATTTTCACATATTATCAAACGTGATTCCAAAAATGAAATTATTAAATTTTACTGGAGAAGAAATTGATAAAATAATAAATATAAATCCGAAAAATTGGTTAAAATGGAAAAATCCAAAATGAAAAGGAAAATTATTATTATTATTATTATTATTATTATTATTATTTTTGTTAAAAATTATTTTGTTAAATTAAAGTAAAAATAAAAATGGGGGGAAAAAAGGTAAAATAATTTTATATTCCACAACAAAGAACTTTTTTTTTTCTCCGAACAAAAAAAAAGGAAAGGATCATCATCATCATCATCATCATCATTATCATTATCATTATCGTTACTATTATTATTATTATCATCTCGTAAAATTTTAAAAACATCTCTAAATTATTTACCCTTTAGATATTTTCTTTATATATATATTTTATATGGTGAAATTTGAAACCGTGAAAGTGTTTTTTAATTCATTAATGAAATTTACAAAAAAAAAAAAAAAAAAAAAGGTACATACGGAAAATGGGAAAACTGTAGATTTTTATTCATAATAATAATAATAGTAATAATAATAATAATTAATAATGATAGTACGAGTGTGAGGAAATTTTTAAACCTTAAATTTAAACCGTTAACTTTTATTATGTGAATCCCTTTTTTTATCCCTTTTTCCTTTTATTTTTTAACTGGATACTTTTATGTGTGCGTGTGTGTGCGTGTAATGTGTGTGTGAAAATAATAATAATAATAATAATGATTTGATTTATGTTTTATTTGAATAAGTTTTTGTTTGTTAATAAAAATGTTTATTACTTTTTTTTTTTTTTTTTTTTTTTTACAAATTTAAATCTTGTTTAAAGATTTTGTTTGAATAATAATAATAATAATAATAAACGTTGTCAATAATTAAAGAATATTTTTGTTTTTTTTTTTTTTTTTTTTTTTAAATTCTTTTTCTAATAAAAATATTTTTTATTAAAGTTTTTTTTTTTTTTTAAAATCAATAAAAGTTATTGGGTTCAATTTAGTATATATATATATATAAGCTTGTTTTAAAATTTTATTAATAAAAAAACAGCAGCGGAGGGGGGGGGATTTCGATATTAATACCGAAAAAATAATAAAATAAAATTGTTTTTTTTTTTACGATATTTGATATGATGATGATGATGATGATAAAGGTTTAAAATTTGTTAAAAGGTGTAAAAATAATTAAGGGGGGAGGGCGGGAAAAAAAGGTTTTGATGTGGGAGATGCACCGGGGAGAGATTTTGTTACATTTGTAGATTCTGACATCTGGTGGTGGTTTAGGAAAACTATTTATTAAAATGAAAAAAAAAAAAAAGAAATTTTAACGAAATTTTTTTCCCTTCATTCCAATTCTATTTATTTGAAATTTTTCTTTTTTCCAACCATTTTTTTTTTTAAAATAAAATAAAAAGGGAAAATATAAATATTAATAGAATTTTAAATAAAATAAAAATTCATACGAATATAATTCTATTAATATATTAAGTTTTTATGTTGGCATCACTGTCTTCCTGAATCATTACAAAAATGCTTCTATAAACAGTGAAAATATTGATATTTTTCGTTCTGTCATTACCCAATCAGAGTTTTTTTTTATTTTTTTATTTTGTTAATATTGTTTTTTTTTTTTTTATATTATTAATAACAATTTATTTTATATTTCGGCGGTGTTTTTTTTTTTTTTTGTTAATATAAACTGTTTGATAATCGATTTTAATGTTAAATAATGTTGTTACATTTAGTTTTATTTTAAAAGTAAACGTTTTTAATAAGTAAGCTAAGATGCACACCATTTGTTGTAGTTGTTAAAAAAAAAAAAAAAAATTATTTTATATTTTTTTATATAATTTGTTTTATACGACTATTTTATTACTTTTTACCACGGTTAATTTATCGATCTCAATCGATTCGTTATATTTTATCGTTATTATATCGTAAAAAGGTTATAATTTTTTCGCGAAACTTTTAAATTCATTTATACATACATACATATATATATATATATTTAATGACATAATTTTTTAATCAATAATTTTTCATTTTTTTTTTCCTATTAAATTCTTACCTTAATTTTTAATATTAAACAATTTTTATTTATTATTATTATTATTATTATTATTTTACACATTATTTCAGCTTAACTCCAGTGGTGTGCTTTTATTTAAAGTGTTGATAGGTTTTTGTGAATTTTTTATTGTTTTAAAATAAAAAAATTATGTTAAATATTCATATTCGCTTTCATTATAATAAACTTCTTAATCGTTAAATTCAGTTACATATAGAATGTTGGAAAGTTCAACAAGTCATTCATTTATTTATTTTCATCATTTGTAAGTAAAATTTTTACATCATATTAATAATTTCAATAACATTCAGATTTAAAAAAAAAAAAAAAAAAAAAAAATTCTCATGATCGTTTCAAACAAGTTGGTATCAGTAAATTATTTTTTTTTTTATTCGAAACATTTCACCCAACGAATCAATTCAATCAATTAATAATAGTTATGCATACATACCTATTTTTAGTAAGATTTTAATTCAATTGAAAATTTGTATATACAATTAAAATGTTTTCTTTCAAACATTTTCTTTTATCATTTAATCATAATAATAATAATAACTTGAGAAAAGTTTCTTTTCTATTATTATAAAAACGAATTCAATAATTAAATAATCGTTTTTTAAATGTTCGAATATATATATATAAATTTTCAATAAGTTCAATAATAATAATAATTTACTTATACCAACTTTTTTTTTTTTATCATAAAAGTGTGATTATCTGGCATTCCAAAATTCTTTACATTTGTTATCAGTGTAAATATGTATTGTTCCTTTTTGAATAATAATAATAATAATTTAATAAGGTTTATTTTTTATATTAATTTTTTTTAAAAAGCTCGAATATTGCTTTTAAACATTTTACAATAATGTCTCACTAAATGTTTTTTTTTTTTAAATAACAATATAATAAAAAGCTATAAAAAATAATTCATAAAAAAATTTAAAAATAATAATAATAATGATAATGATGATAAAAAAAAAAGTAACAACAAAATATGTATACGTGTATTTAAATAAGAATAATAATATTAGGTCGTTTTTTAAAGGACGGGTTGGGGGGGGGCACATTTAAATGTTAATTTTTTATTAAATCCTTCTCCATTATGCAACATATTATGTTTTAAATGCGACGAATCATTTCCTTTTTATGTATATAACATTTGACATTTTACAAACCCTCTTTTATTATTATTTTTTTTTTAAGCATATAAAAATTTCCGGAAATTATTCAAAAAAGGAACAACAAAAAAAAAAAAAAATCAATTACTAAATTAATTTTTTTTCTTTTTTAAACGTTTTTCATTTTATGTTTTTTATTTATGTATATATATATATATAAACATTAAACGAAATTGCAATTTATTTTATGTTGCAACAAAATGATACTATTCTATATTTCCATTAAAATGTTTTACAAAAATATATATATGTATATAAATGGCGTCGTGTGCATAAAATCATAAAACCCAACGAATGAATGAATGAATGAATGAATGGAAATGAATGTTTTTCTCTCTCTTTTTTCCGGTCTTTTGACACACACACACACACACAAAAATTTTTTTTTCTCGTTTAAAAAAAAAAAAATGGAAGAGAGGAGAGGAAAAAAAAAAAATCTTTTTATTGTAAAAGTTGAATGAATTTATAACAATCGAAATTTAACATTAAATCGTTATTAATCATTTTAATATTTATGTATATATACAAGTTCTTTTTTTTGTTCGACTCGAAATCAAATAAATAATTTTTAATACCATAAACGATTATAATTAGAATACATTATTATTATTATTTTATTGATATATTTACCCGAAAAAAAAATAAATAAATAAATTGCATCTTCTTATTAGTTTTCATTCGTATGATTTAATCGATTTTAAATAAACCTATGTATATATATATATATATATATATATATATATTTCAAATTTAAATTTATAGGAAATCGTATTATTATTATTATTATTATTGATTATTGGTTTTTCAATTTTATCTCAGAGTAGTATTATTATTATTATTTGTGTATTATTTTTGTTGAGGAAACAAAAAGAAAAAATTTTCAAAAGGGAGATAAGTGGGAAAGGGGGAAAGGGGGAGGGAAAAGAAAGAAAGAAAATCTTTTTCACTGCTGTGTGCTGTTATAAAGTGGTGGTGGGTTTAAAATGAAAAGAAATTTCAATCAATAAGCCGCATCTTAGTTTTCTTTTTTCATATGAGAGGGCCTTCCTATTATTGTAGAAAGGAAAGTAGAAATAACAACAGCACCAGCAGCAGCAACATCATCATCATCATCATCATCCATCCTCATCTCTCGAAAATTCTTTAGTTTTTTTTTAGTCATTTTGAAGTATATTCATAAGTGGATTTTCTTTTTTTTTCTTCTTTTTTTTCTTCCTTTTTTTTTCTTCTTTTTTTTCTTCCTTTTTTTTTCTTCTTTTATTTTCTTTTTACTTCTATCTTTTCCTCTTTTACCCTTTCAAGAGAGTCACTCCCTCTATTCGTCACGCGCCATAAATTTTTTTTTTGAATATAAAAAAACATGCTTTTACGCGACCGATCGCGATATACACAATAATTAAAATTATGTTATAATCGTAAATTATTATGTTTGTCGTTGTCGTTGTTGCTGTAAAAAGTAATAATAATAATAATAATAATAAATCGCCATTACTTTTTTCATCCGTGCCTAACTTTTGTTCATTTTAGTTTTTCATCTCTCTCTCTCTCTCTCTTTTCTCTTCTTCTATTATTATTTAATTCAATGGACCGATCGATTGCCTTTTACGATTCATTTTCAAAAGTTTTTTTAAAAAAAAAAAAAAAAAAAAGGAAAAGGAAAAGGAAAAAGGAAAGGGGGAAAAAAAAATTTAAATATTTTCTTATGAAATTCCCATTTTTTTTTTTTTTTTCTATTTTAAAATTTATTTAAATGGCATTTTTATTTATAATGGAAAAAATCAAGAGAAAGTTAAAAACAATTTATTAAATTTTTTTTTTTTTTTTGATATTATTATTATTATTACTTTATTTTATTTTATTT